ATTATATGTTTTCATTAAGTACAATCTTTCTAGCAAAGGATTTCATGATTAATATACACGTTCATTTTTATTAATCAATACCTTGCATATTGCCAGAGTTGATCAGGCTTATTTGGAAAGGGGAAATTGCATTCATTGATAGCCTATGCCATCAATAATGTTTTAATTTTCAAATGCCTTTTCTTATAAATTATCTGAAATCAAGGAATATGCTAAAAGCAAGACATGATATAAAAGAGTTTCCCATCAGGCAGGATTGGGGTAGGGAAGGAGGGGAGAGTAACATAGTTAGACTCAAAGGAGAGGTGTGCTCAGCCTCCCACCCCTATGCCTTGTCCATGAAACCCCTTGCAGACACTCTTCTTGCCACATCTTTTCACCTCCTAGTGTCTTATAAGGAGTTTCAGATGGTTCCAGAGTTCAAGGGAACTCAGATTGGAGAAAAAGCTGCCTACCAGTAGATGGCCACTTCTCGCAGAAGGGCGCTTGGGGCCACGGCTCATGGGCAGACTGGGTAGGAAATCATCTGGGGCTGTGGACGCCTCCAGGAGACACGTGTTCATGGGAATAAGGGGGGTTGGCTCGGCAAATGGGCTCGGAGCCCACATGGACTAGAGCTATGGATGTTATCAATGGACACAGGGAGAACTGGACACCACAGGCCAGGATCTTTCCCTGCTGACTTTCCACTGTGATCAGAGGTAAAAGGGGGGTGGGGTGGAGAATGGGGCTAGAATACTGTTCATTTATTTCAAAGAACAAATGCAAAGTGACTTGGAAGAACCTGTTGCTCATAAATCCAAAGAAATGAAATTCCTTGAATGGGAAAGTTTGTGTGCAGTTGTAGATGCTGTTTTATTTTACAGTAAGAAAATAGCCTTTCTCCCTTCTTGGATAGTATTGGTAAAGATAATTCAGCTAAGGGAACTGTGTCTGACCCTGTACCAGGCAAACGTTACCTCTGCATCTAGGTCTCAGCTTTGTCGAGTGTTCCAGTGGATTCATAAAGAGAGAGAATCCCTGCAAAGTGCTCTCAGGAATGTTGCTTTACTTCCTTCCATTTTATAGGCGAGGAAGCTGATTCTTAGAGAAGTGGTTTGGCTGGGCCAATATTCTTATTCATATAAGAATAATATGCAATATTAAGAATATATGAGGAGCAGGGTGAGGGAAGGGGAAAATATTTATGAGGAATACTAACTCCCAGTCCAACACAGTAAAATTGCTATGTCCACTCCTCACTTATTCACACATTTGCTCACCCTTATATGGCCCAGGCATGTTGCTAGATGCTAACAGAGCTAGACTCACAGAACTCAAGGTCAAAGGGCAGAGCCAGTCAAGAAAACCCCAGTGTCATGTACTATGAGAAGTTACACAATAGGGGAAGCATAGGCTGCTGTGCAAGTAGCCAGGAGGAACAGCCGGGCCAGACCTGAAGAAAGGGAAGATCTATAGAAAGAAGCTTCTAGGCTGAGGTATAAAGTTGAAGAAAAGGAAGCTCAATGAAAGAAGGAAAGGGAGGGAATTGCAAGAAGGGGGAACCACATAAATGAAGACTTAGAATTAAGAAAGTTTATATGAGTAATTAGAAACACTTTAGTAAAACTGGTGTTTCTTTTTCACAAAGAAGGAGCTAGGAAAAAAACTAGAAAGACACCCTGGCCTCTCCCAGAGCCGAAGCCAAAGCAGAAATGTTTAAGGCCAAGAAAGGAGTGCTGAAAGGTGTCCACAACTACAAAAGAAGGAAGATCTACACTGTCACCCACTCTCCAACAACACAGGACACTGTGGCTCTGATGGCAATACAACCATCCTTGGAAGGGCACCCCCAGAAGATGCAGGCTTGACCTGTGTGCCATCATCCCGTTTCCTGTCAACTGAGGCAGACGAGGAAGACAGAAGATAGCACACCTGTGTCCGTGGTGGGCGTCAAGGCCAACAGGCTCCAGAGGACACAGGCTGTGAAGAAGCTCTGTGATAGTGACATGGCCCAGGTCAGCACCCTGAGCAGAGCCAGGGAGAGAAGAAGGTGCATCTCCACTGGCTCCTGACTATGATGCTTTAGGTGTTGCCAGCTAAACTGGAATCATCTAAACTGCATTCAGCTGAATAATTCTAAATATAATTTTTTTTCACCAGAAAAGAAGGTCTGGGGCCTAATAATAACAGCCATAAAGGATTATTGAGCTCACTTACAAGATAGACATTTCCCCAGAGGTCAGAGAGATGGAAGGTAACAGCACCATAAAGGCCAGGGAAGAGAACATTTCCAGGAGGAAGCAGCCAGTGCTAAACAGAAGCCACCTGGCCTGGGAAGAGCTCATTCGCTGCAAGGACAGACCCAGCGGCCTGTGGCAGGGGCAGTGTTAGTGGGTGATGAACGTCCTTACCACAGGGTAAGGTGTGGTTGTGATGAGGAGGAGGAAGGAGAGTTAATTCAGATGTCTCTCGCTAGAAGGAGAGTAGAGGAACCAGAAAGAAGTGAAAGGAAGCAGGAAAGAGGACAGGATGGATGATTTTTTTTGTGGTAAGTTAGCTGTGTGTAAGTTTAAATGTTGACCTGACCAGAGAAGTGTTGCTAAGCAAGAGGTGTTGAAATTAAGAGTGTAATCAGTAAAATGGAACTTTTAGGAACGCAGGATATATATAGGTCTTTGAACAGAATTATGGACAAGAGGAAAGGCTGCAGGGAAATTTCTAGAAGGTGTTCCTCTCTTGTTTTAGCTAAAGAAGGTGGGATGATAGACTTTTATTTTTATTTATTTCCATAAGGGGCAGGACATTTTACTTATTTACTGTATGCCATGCTTTTTATTGGGCAGTTTACAAACACCAGCTCATTGATTTTCTCAACAACGCTGATCTCTCATCCTCCATGGGAAAACATTAACGCTTACGGAAGATGAATGGATGTCCCAGTTACACAGCTGGCAAGAAGAGCCAAGTCTCCCTCCCAAGTTCTTAGGACTCCAAAGCAAGATCTCTCCAGATGTGTTTGTAGGCAGAAGGGAAAGAGCAAAGGAAGAGAGACAATAAAAGGCAAAAAAATAGCATCAAGTGAATGCACATCCTAGAGAATGAGAGGGCCTGAACAGAAGTGAAAAAGCTTGGGCCTCCCTGGTGGCACAGCAAGTTAAAGCACAGCACTACGAAGCTGAAGCCACTTCAGCATGAGTTCGATCCCCGGTCAGGGAGGTGACCCACATGGCACAGCAGACCTCTCCTGTCTCACCTGCTGCTCCCCTCAGCAGTGTACTTCGTTAGTTAGCCTGTTCTGCTTCTTGCTCTGTCTCTGGTGAATCCTCTCATTGCCTGTACCCCAGTTCTGTATGCATAAATAAATAAATCTTTTTAAGAAAAGAAGATGTGTAAGAGCTTGTCTTCCTTACAATCAAAGAGAGAGGGAATAAAAGAGAGAGGGAGTAGATAAAAAGAAGGAGAAATTATCAGGGCATGGGCATAGTTACAGTGCAACAAGTTGAACAACTTTCATCTTTATTGACCCGGGGTGAAGCCCCTGTAAAGGTGGTCTCCTAAAGGTACTGGGTTTGGGAACATGATACGAACTCACAAGCTAGTCTAGTGAAACATGTATTAAGCAAGAATCTAAGATAACTGAATAATTAATAAGTATTATATGTATAGTGGGGACATCCAGGAGAGTAGGAAGTTGTTTTTTTTTTAGATTTATTTATTATTTATGCATAGAGAACTGGGGTACAGATAAGAGTTTCAGGGGAGGAGAGAGGATTCACCAGAGACAGAGG